AATGATCCTGATACATACTATTGCGGTGTATGATGGCAAACTTATCCTGGCACCGGAATATGGAGCACAGGGCCTGTCGGAAGTTCTTATTGAAACCGCCGTATATGATAGGGTTGAACACACTGTTTGAATAGGCGATGAATGTGGCAAAGTAGGAGACACTGGGAAACCATTTCGGCAACTATATGAACAAGGTGCAAAAAAAATTAATTTATTACAATCATTTACGTAATTGTTATTTTTAACATGTATACATATGCATACCAGTTTGGCAATGCTTTAGATAATAAAGTAGTTTAAAGTAATAAAACTATCAAGTATAAATAAAGTAATTTTGTATTTAAACTAATGATTTATACTTGATTATTCTAATTCGTATAGTAAAAAACACTATTTAATTTATTAAATGTTATTTGTTTATTAAATAGCCATTTATGAATCTACTATCTATGTTAATTTATTAAAATAAATATTAAATTTCAGTAGATATATTTTATAAATAATTCTTACAATTTGTCAGGGTGATTGCCCTTTATTATTAAATAACAAACACTATCATAATTTTACCTACAGCTTATATATTTAGCTAGTTTCAAATTTTAATTACAATAAAAATACATAAGGGATAATTTTTTAAATAATTCATTAAAATTTTATTTAACTATTAATATTGATATAAACCCCTTAACCATACCAGTCCCTTCATATAAAGCATTGTAAATATTAAACCATGGATTGACCCCAAAAATACTGGCCACCACTGGCATCCCCTGACAACTAAGTTATTTAAGTCATTATACGATCATTATATTGACTACACAAATGCGATTCACTATTATATTCCGTAAGTATTAAGTAATGTATTAATCAATGGATTCTTTGGGAAAACATTTTCCCATTGGATTCACTCGTTAAACAAAATGAAAATACTGTTTGAATACAAACAAAAATTATATATATATAGTACTATTCATACAAATTGATATGTTTTTGCAACCCTTTCAGTCTTATAATAGTATTCAATAGGGTTTTGTGATTATTTTTAGCCATTATTGTAATCCCTATTGAATGCTATTGTAGTTTAATTTCGGTTCAATAAACATAACGTCTCTCTCTCTCTCTCTCTCAAAATTGTTTATAAAATAACCAAAAGTACTCTGACTGTCAGAGCCTGACATACTGAACAGTAAACACAATAAAATAGTTTTATTAGACCTCTATTACATTTATTATACTAAAAAAGTTAAAATAACTGTTTGTATAGTAAATGAAATCATTTATTTTACTCTTAAACTATAATTTATAAATTAGCAAACATATTTAGTAGAGCAATCCTATAATTTTATTTTATTGTAAATCCTATACTAATCTAAATGTTAAGACATAAATACTTGAGTATAATATAACAAAGTAATAGTTTTTTATTGGATTTGTTTGGTTTGTAAACTCTTATATTAAGATATACAACATTATAAGAAATAAATATAAAATATAAATATATATTATATAAAGTTTATATTGTATTTGGGAATTAATGAAATAAAACTCTTGTTTAATTATAAAATTAAATTAGTTTTATGACATAATAATATAAGTATATTAATACCTATTAATAGCTTATATACAAAAAGGTTTATTTTAATATTAATACATATTACTATATATTCAAAAAGCTGATTTTTGTTATTTAATACGGTGAGTGTATCAAAATGTTACTAGTTTAATCTACAAAGTTATTACCATGTTAAAACGGAATAACTGTTATAATGTTAAAAGATTTTGTGATTGCGATGCGTTTTCAAATGTCTATTTAAATCTGATTTTGTTTTATAACTTTTGTAGCAATCATTGAAATGACAAACAAATGGCTTTTCATGGGAATGAACAGTCCGTTTGTGTTTAGTTAGGTGTGACTGAACACCAAAACTTTTGCCACAATTTTCTTCATTACATTTGAATAGCTTTTCATTCAAATGAACACAACTTTTTTGTCGTTTTAAATCAAATTTGTTTGTAAACTGTTTGCCACATTCACTCCAATCGCATACATATCTCACGTTTAAATGAACGCTATTTTTGTGTTCATATAATTGTTTAACTGTTGTGAACATCTCATTGCAATTAATATTATTACATATGATTTGTTTTACCGATGAATGCGTTAATTGGTGTTGAATTAAACTTTGTCCATTTGATGATTTAAATTGACATTTAGGCCAGGAACAATTAAATTTACGGGAATTAATACTTAAATGAATTTTATTTTTGTGTCGATTGAGACTTCGTTTTGTTGTAAACTGTTTGCCACATTCACTCCAATCGCATACATATCTCACATTTAAATGAACACTATTTTTGTGGTTAGTTAACTCGTCGTATTCCACCACTGGCATCCCCTGACAACAAAGTTATTTAAGTGATTATATGATCATTATATTGACTACACAAATGCGATTCACTATTATATTCCGTAAGTATTAAGTAATATATTAATCAATGGATTCTTTGGGCAAATATCTCGTTAAAAAAATGAAAATACGGTTTAAATACAAACAAAATTTTTTGAACATTTCTATTGATCAAACAATTTTAACAGATCTAATCTTACTAGATACCTAATCTACAAAGTTATACCATGTTAACATGGAATTGTATCATATGTCATAGAAATTGTTATAAAGTATTATTATAATTATTTATTGTGTCTTAAACAAGTTACATTAAAGTGTATTATTTTTTCTGTCATTTAATAACTCCTTATATTACTTAATTTACTTAATTACTTGTTCATTTTAATAAATACTTTATTTATTTTTGAAACAATTTTAAATTAAAACAATTAATAATAAAATAAAAGTTTTTGAAATATTTTTGTGACCGAAACTTCAAAACATTTATAAGTTAAATAAAACTTATTTCTGTCATAAACTCAATGTCTTTGTGAACGAGTATTGGATCTGAAATATCACAACTAACTCAACACATAAATAGCATTCATTTAAACGTGAGATATGTATGCGATTGGAGTGAATGTGGCAAACAGTTTACAACAAAAATAAATTTATCTCAACACAAACGGAGTGTTCATTTAAAGGAGAAAAACTATCAATGTCCTTTTGCAAATTGCGGCAAAATATTTTCTCGAAAGTCTAAACATAAAAATCAAGTTTATCTTAAAATTAAGTGTTTCAAATAATTTAATGCACACTTTGAATTTATATTATTCATATAAAAAATAATTATTGAGCTACTTTATAAATATTTTTTATAAGTTTTGAATTTATATAAATTAGTTTAAGTTAAATTTTAAAAACCGCAATTATTCAGTATATAATTTTAATTCATTTTTTGTAAATAAAAAATTATTAATTTAGGTTTTGTTATTGCTGTATATTGTATATTTATATATTTATACAATATGCATATTCTGTTAATATTATATTATTTTGCAAACATATCAATAAGTACCAATATCACATAATTATTGATTAATTGCTTAAAATATTCACACACTTTACTCAAATTGATTTTGTTATTAACTATTGAAAACACATATTTTCTATGTTTTCACCAAAAAAGTTGCAATAAAATCAAAACCTCAATAAACGGTTGAAAAAACAATTGATTTTTGAGTGACATTTCGATCACTACTTACTTCGCCGGAAGCGTTAGCCGAGTGTCCGAACAGTGAGTATAAGACAATGATCTGCAACGGCATCCATGATATGACAAACGCTATCAATACTATGCAAACCATTTTAATCACCTGTTGAGGGAAAAGGCATGTATTAGTAATGAATAGATATATAATTTATTTGTTAATACATGCAAAGAATTATTTCGCAGAATATTCTCGTTTTAAATAAAATTGTTTAAAATAAAATATTTTTTGTATAAATATATTAGTAATTAATATGTAATTCAAATTATATTAAGGAATCCCTCTCTCTCTCTCTCTCTCTCTCTCTCTCTTTATTAAAAAACATTTAAAAAATAATTTGATACAAAAAAATTGTAAACAAAAACTAATCTTTATTTAATTACATTCAAGTGTTGCACACAATATATTCACAAAAAAAATATTAATTAATATAAAAATGGAAAATATGTCTCAAAATTCAGTCTCTCATAAACAAAACTCTCAAATCATACACACGAGGGATTAGAATATACCAAACTCTAGGGTTTAAGTGATTAATGAAAATAACAAAATATCTTAAATAACAAAAACATTTTCAAAAAAATAATTATATATAAAAGCACTCTTAAGGTGCATAACCTGTTAAGAGGTGCCTATCAATAACAGTCAACATGCCTATCAACAAAGTGCATGAAAATATTATTATACAGAATATTCTGTATATGCAATAATATTTTTGTTATGATTAGCTACACTGTCTGGACATATGCTTAATATATTTATCGCACAGAATATTCTGCAAATGAAAACATTTCTTAATTGTAACACAAGTTCAGTACGCCTACAGAATATTCTGTGAATATTCCCAACGCTAGCCCAGACAGTAGACACTAATTGAATACTACACCAAAGGGAACGGTAGCCTTTTTGTGGGCAAACAGTTTGGACATAAACTTGACATTTGATGAAAAAAAATAAAAAGATTTATTCGTGGTCACAGTAAACATTACTGGATAACAAATAATTTATATACTAATTCTGTGTATAAAAATATAAATAAAAATTATATTCATACGTATTGTAAGAATATTAATGTGTTTACAATAATAACTTAATCCATATCGTACTGTACAATCATAACATGCTAGGTCATTAGATTAATTATAATATTTTTGCATGTAATTTAATCTTTACTTAATATTCTAGTAATTATTAAAAATAAACATTATTTTCTAAATCCGTTGTACAATAAATAAAATACTATTAAATATATGCATAAATGAGACAAAAATAAAACTTATTATCTGATAAAATATCGCAAAATAAAATATTGAATGTAAATATAAAATATTATTTGACTTAAGACTCAAATAATTGAATAATTTTAAAACAATAGTATTTAATTAATTTTATACAACATTGGATATCTAGCCATTGTTTCTGATGAAATATAAATTGTATCAAGGTTAGCATTTAATTCATATACAGAACCAATAATATTTACGAGAGAGAGAGAGAGAGAGAGCTAATAAACCAAACAAATTAACACAACATAAACTAAATTATCATGTTAATAAAGCTAACCAAAAGTACCTGGGTTCTTACTTTTTTCTTGGCTTTCCTATGTTGGCTGACGTTATTCTGGGACCGTTCGCCGGGTATCTCGTTATACCACAGGCGCCACACTATCAACGAGTAGGCGGTGACCATCACGAGCACCGGTATGAAGAACAGGGTGGTCGACACGAACGTGTAGTATATCTTTTTCGACACATACGACTTGATACATATGCCGGTGTCGGCCGAGTACTCAGATATCGAGGGCCAACTTTCCACGCAATTTGTTTCAATGTAATCCCGCCACTAGTGGACAGACACGTAAAATATTAAAATTAAAATGTACTGTGTCACTACTAAATAAATAAATGAACTGTACAGTTTATTAAATGTAAATACACTATAAAATATAGATTATAATATACTGTATTATTAGATTAAATTAGCGCCATGTTTAGTAATAACATGTACAATTATAATTATTTACCACGGTACTATTAACTAAAATCATTATTATAATATATTGGATATGGAAATTAATCTTGACGTGTTAAATTTGTTAAATTAAAATTTTTATTAACTAGCTAGATAAACTATATATTTGAAATTAGAAACTTTATTCCGTAATCTTTATTTAATATGAATTTAATTGAAAGTATGAACAGAATAGTCGTCAAGAATTTAATACCTAAACCAATATTATAGCCAAAAACCATCAGATTTCACAATAAATCACAATTAAATATTAGCTATAATTAAGGGAATGGACACGAAATCCCGTAAGAATAGGGTTTGCGTCAAACAAATGCCATTAGTAATGATACATAAAAAATATATCTACCTTTCCACATGCCTTTCCCCTACCACTAAACTCCCTAATAATGTATCGATTCTTGTGTTACCGATTCTATAGCCTTATGAGACAAAGAATATTCTTAATGCTTATCTATAAGATATCCAAAAGGTTTATGTAATTGAAAATCAATTTCGTGACAAATATGTCACTGGTATGTGATTGGTATGTCATGTCACACATCCTTGTCCGACAATCAATTGTCTAGGTCATTATCTTATAACAAAAAATATATTCATTTATATCATTTGTATACATGATTACCGATTAACACGTTTAGCATGTGGTAGACATTAGCAATGATTTTTGGTTTTAGTTTTTGTTTTGTTTGTTTCATAACATGTTTAGTGAATTGTTTGACACAAAAATAGATCACTTTGTGGTCGACAACAACAACAACAAAAACAATTACATTATGAATGTCTCCCACCAGACATAGCCATACCTCGTATGCCTTACGTATATTAATACATCTCAGACTCTTTGGGTCATAAAATGGGAATTATTTTCTGGTATTAAATCCTATCTTATAATAGAGAGAGAGAGAGAGAGAGAGAGAGACCTATAGACCTATTATATTGTGAGTCTTAGACGTTATGGTATGTCATAAAAAAAGTTGTCTATACTTCCCAACTCTTATGGTATACAAGATTAACACTATTTTCATTAAATTATATTTTTTAGTTGTTTTTATTCCGGGAATAAATTCCCACTTAAAGAATCGCTTTAAGAATCCGGAATCTAAACCATTAGAACATTGAATGGGAAACACGTCTAGAAAATAGACAATTAATTGTATTTTTGTTATATAATAATAGCTAAATGTTTTTATATTTATCATGAAAAGCTATTAATACCTAGCAAAAAATAACATTTACTTTAGTTTTTTGTGTGTATTTGATTTATTAGTAGGAGTATAGTATACTTTTGTATTGTTATATTATATAAAACTTATAACCAATAACTTACTATTTTTTATAGATAATCATAGATTGGCTACAAAAATAATTATAACTAGCACAATAATTTATTGTAGTCTCTAATGTACTGTAATTTGTATTTATTTTTTAATACATTGGTGTATAAACTGACAGAATTGTTATATTAATAAATATACCGCAAACTAAATATAACAAAAACAAATAGGAAATATTATATATATTATTTATACAAACTCAGACACTATTCCCACGCAAAAACACCTCGCTAAACATTAAATAAATAAATAATCATAGACAAGTATGTGTCACTAATTTGCAAAACAAAAACATTAATTAAATGCAAGAATTTTCATGAATAGTAAGCAAAACTCATTTACAATTTAATAATGAATGACTGAATTTGTAAATATTTTCAATTTAATGCTCATTTATTCATTAATTTATTTCACACAGAATTTAGTGTTAAATCGCGCCTACACTCAATAAACACAAACAATTGCCTTGTTTATTATTTGGCAATAAGAGAAAATAAAATAAATTGCAAATATACTGTAGAAAACCATTTAAAATAGGATTTTTCAATAAATTGCCTCGCTAAACAAATATCAACATAGCACTGCGAATTGTATGCGTAAATTAAAATAAATATTTAAAAAACTACAGAATATTCTGTAAATAAAATCACAGAATATGTGCAAATATACAACAAAAATAAATTATTATACAGTACTAAATAAATAGCATTTTCATTTATATTATGGCAATAACTGTCCCCTCCATACCTCAAACGTGTGATGTTTACGGTATATGAGGAACGGTATGCTGACCACCAGCGACACGATCCATATGATGGCTATGACTAAACCGGTCCTCTGTTTGGTTACACGGGCTCTGAGCGGGAAAAATATGGCCACAAATCGGTCGCAAGATATGGCTGATAGTGTCAACACCGATGAGGTCAGGCATGTCACTGCAAATATATAAAGGGAACTGGATGTTAAAAGTCTGCAATAATTTTGAAAATTAAATATTAATAATTCATAATAATATACATATAATATTTATTATTACACAATAAATATATATATTCATGAATATTCTGTGTATATGTTTATGTGTTATATTTTATTCAAGCACACACCTACACGCTAAAATTTTACATAAATATTATATTTAATAATTTTGAAACTCAGCATTATTCAAAAATATAATATTATTTATTTTTTTGTAGGTTTCATATATTTATGACTACATTAATACTGTATTGCCGTGATATCATTATGATAATATTTTTACACTCTTAAAAAACTGGATTTATTACCGGATCTACAAACTCTATATAACAATAATACTATGGGTTATACAGAATATTCTGTATAATCTATGGGATATACAGAATATTCTGTATAGTCTGTACTGTAATGGGATATAATTCATTGATAATAGCCGTACTCATAAGCCTTTAGGGGATTACGAATAATGTGTTTATTATTTTTGTAACATTTTATTATTATATTATAAAATTTACTATCATATTATATCAACAAAATCATAATATATCAGTATTAATTTCTAGTAACACAACCTATTTTAATATGATAGTATATTATATTTTTTATAATATTTATCAATTTACGATATTGTTAAAAATAGATTGTATTATAACTCTATAAATAGCATATGTACTACATTTTAAAAAATAATATTGATTTTCATTATGTACTAAATATTCGCGAATGAAATATTGAATAATAATTAGAAATTAATTTTGATATTAAAAGTAAAGCTATTTCACGTTATATTGTAAATCAATTTGTGATATAAAGCAGAAAATAATTTGTTTTATAGTGATGTTGAGATTCTTGTCATAAGAATAAGGAAACAGAATATTCTTTCATTCATTTAATGCAATTCACTGACAATTGCCTTAGGCTTACGGTATAATTACAGTTTAATCAAGTACATGCTCGTTATAATGTACAAATGTGTGCTTAATTTAATAATATAGTACAGAATATTTTGTGCATTATAAATGTGAATGTTAGTATTTGTGCTGGGGTATTGGAGTTTTATCATAAATATTTATGTAGGAAATAAAATAATAATTTTTAGGCAATATTATAAGATTATAAATAATTTTATATAGTATTACAAAAAATATTTATTAACATAATAGTATCCAATATATTATAGTATAATATAGTATAGTATAATTTATATACCGGCACCAATAGATTTTCTACCATATATTATGTTATAAATTAATTTAATGTAATGTGCCAGCTTATAAAAGTATATTTATTTTATGCTATTGAATTATACATTATTTTAATTTATAATAATTATAATATAATATTATTTTTAATAATTTATGTGCACTCTAAACATTATGTAATATTAACCTGATAATCTCAGATAAAAGCATTTTTACAACTTTTACTTTTTATTTTGCAACTAAATTATTCAATTACTCGAAAGTTATTAAATAATTTATGAATTTCCCAAAAAATGTGTAAACAACTTTTTACAGAATATTCTTGTTTATCATTGAAATTCCCAATACAATTCATGTTATAAATTATTAATTTATACGTTTAAACAAATAATCCATATTTCATGAGATTTTAAAGATTAAATAAAGGTCAATTATTATTCACATTACAGTATATCTTAAAGACTTTTAAGCTATGCTATTTAATTTTGTATTATTAATGATATAAAATATTAACTACACAATACAATAATAACTTATCACACCAAATTAATTATTTAATTTATGTACACAGTATAGATATTCAGCAATTACTATAATATAGTACTTTTTCAGACTATTATGATAATTATACTTTGTACTATAATTATAAAACTTGCGAAATATAACTGCATAGAAATTACTTATTAAAAATTTCATATGTATTTATACAATTAAACAGATGTTTTTAAGTAGCTTTAAAAATTTATTTATATAATTTTGCTATTATTTTCTATAGATTTGCTACAGATTTAAAATATTAAGTACATGGCCAGTACATTATCATGGCCAGTACTTATGTCCCAAATAAATACAATCTTAGCCATATTTTTATACAATATAAGAATATTTTATATACACATTTATAGCTCATAAAAACGCCGTATGAATACACACATTGTAATAATGGTTGACATTTAAAATGTCACAAATAATTACTTATTTTATCAACAAATGTGTGCAAAAAAGTAATAAAAGTGTGAAAAGTTTTTTGTTACAAATAAACAACAAGAATATGACAACAATTATTATTTTATAGCAAACACAGTCTACTTTAAATTGAGTACAGCACATTTAATAATACTTTTGTAATCATATACTATATAATATATAAATGTCATGTAAAACTATAAGATGTTTATTATATATAGTATGTCGAGAGAGAGAGAGAGATTGTAAATAAAATATGTTTTTGAAATATAATGTGTAAATAAGTCTTTCAAATAATATGACAAATAAATATTCGTAACATAAGTGTTGTATCAATACATTAGCGCACAAAATGTGCATAAATTCTCATACAATAACAATACAAACGCACAGAATATTCTTGTATTTAATATTGAATTATCGGGGAATTAGTTAAACAACAACTATTACTATAGTATATGACTATTAATATTAACATGACTTGAGTTCATAGGCAAACATCCAGATAAATTATGTGTCATTAAATGTCGCTGTTTTCACACGTTTAATGTGTTTAAGGTTTTAAATTGAATATTTTGTTTTTATATGATCATAAAAATAAAAGTTATTTTTTATTAAGGTCTCAAATAAAAATAATTGGCTACAAATTCCTATATAAACACTTTCCAAACCTTACTACAAATAAACTATAGTCTATAATGATCCAATTTTCAAAATTACCAAGGTATCTGTCTACTTATCAAAAAAATATTATATTTATTTACTGTTTACACTAGCATGATATATTTATAATAAACATGTAATTAATAAATACATGCTTTCAATGACACACGATATGTAACCTTCAATGAGAGAGAGAAAAATATTTTTATTTTCATAGCGTTTAGAACATAGCATTCAATACACGGTTAGTATTGATAGTGTGAGGGATTAGCCATATATACTGTATATTATATACTCTCAATGGCTATCATTAAGTGATAAATCCGTTTTTGCTTTTATCACTAAAACCTGTTACTTGTGTTTGAAAAGGTATTAGCCCCACACAAACGTTAAGTAAAAGTAGTTTTTATATACATTATATGTCAACAGATATAAAAAATGTTGACAAAATAAATGGATGTAAAGTTTTTTGCTTACTTTAGACATTTATTATGGCATTTATATTGATAGGGCATTTGATTTATTTAATTCACATTAAGATTAATTTGATAAAAAGTATATCAATATATTTATTTTGAATCTTATATGAATTAATGATACATAAATTATATAACATAGCATAATATATAAGTATAACTAGCTGTAGTATGAGTATGTGGGCGTAATGTTAACATACCAGTATATAATGTCACTAAATAATACCCTGATATTAATATATTATAATATACAAGATTCTCATACTTGCTTGGAGACATATTTTAATATGCATGCTAAATCCCTTATATAATATAAAAGTTGACATAACTTTATCTAATAAATTAAATATACATAGAAATTACACAGAGAATAAAAATAAAAAACATATTATACTCTGTACTTGTATTATACTAATGTATGAATTAAACAAGCAAAAAAAATAATTTATTTTGTAATATATTCACTTGAAATATTTCTTATTAAACAAAATTATTAGAAATTTGTCATAAAACTAATTACAATATAAAATAGCCTAGTTATTTTTTGTTCATTACATTTCATAAACATTTACATTGAATTTAAATGACATTATTTTTAATTAACATAATTTTATATAAAAATATAATGGCATTGCTATAAATAACATACCGTTCCCCTAATAAACTACTGTATGTAGCAAATGATGTGTTATTTAATATTCTGTTCACAAAAACTATTAAGTTTTGAAAATTGATTTTTTATAAAAATTTTAATAAATTATTTTTACACTAAATATACTTTAAAATAGCGAAAAAACTTTAAATTAAATTTTGTTTTCATTGAAAAAATTTAATTTGAATTTTAATACTATACTATATTTTTACAGTAATATAGCCATCAGTTAGTGTTAACATTAATTTTGTAAAAAAAACTTTTTTATTGAAAATATTTTATCACATTTTTATAGTTAATATAATATTTAACAAAAAACTATTTACTATATTACGTATCATATCCTATGCCATAAAATGTATTAAACTTTTTTAACATACAGTACAGTATATAATATCAAAGGTTTTTATATTGGGTTTAATCCCATAGCATATAAAAATGCCAATACTATTGAGACCGGTATCCCGGATACATTTACTCAGTATATAAGTTATATCGTTAAACCGATAGTGAAAGCAAATTATATTGGATTTAATTTTACGGACATTAAAAAAATAAAGTTTATTTTCAGACAAACATACAGTTAAGTAATGATTTTATTTTGAGTTCATGTGAACTAAACGTATAGTGCAATGAATTTCATACTAAATACACAGTAAAACATAATAAATAAAAAGTGTGTTTTAAATGTGTTTCTAATCCGTGAGATATGTTCACCATTTGAGACATCAGTTTTTGGTTGAATTAATGAGAAACTGATTATAAGATACTTTTGGCAATTGATTTGTTGGACTTAATCTCTCTCTCTCTCTCTCTCTCTCTCTCGATGTTTGAAATGATTTTTTGTAATTCATTGGATTTCTGAGCTTTATTTAATGAATACCATAAATTATTTCAGCATGTCAGCTAATTTAATTACAATTAATTATAATTTACTAAATAATATAATTAATATAATATCATTTATATACAGTATTATGATAATTAACATAATATGTTAATTATAATCAACCATAATATTATTATGGTTTATTATGAAATTGACATTTAGGCCAATAACAGTGGTAATAAGTTACCGGCTCAGTTTATTATATGTCAATCGCGTTTGTGTCGATTTAACAAATAATTAGCTGTAAATGTTTATCGCAAACAAAATGATCGCGTTGCTATTAATATAATACTACACATATAATATTACTAGTCTAGCATAAAATCATTTAAGATTTTGATGAGTTTTCATGTGTTTCTGTAAATTATTAGTTTTCTTAAAACTTTTAAGACAATCATTGTATTGACAAACGTATGGCCTTTCCGATGAATGTCTGTACAGTTTGTGTTGTTTTAAAATTGCCATTTTACCAAAACTTTTGCCACAATTTTCTTCATTACATTTGAATAGCTTTTCATTCAAATGAAAACAACTTTTATGTCGATTTAGGTCTCCTTTTGTTGTATACTGTTTGCG